AACTTAGTGGCAAAGGCAGATGCCATTTCTGTATACGAGCTAATTGACCTCGGAGGTAAACTGTAATACCAAGTTCGGGCATTACCTCGGAGGGTAGAGGGGAAGATCTTGCACATCAACGCGTCAGAGGCGTTCTGAGCTTGCATGCAGGAGTAAAAAGCATGCAGGTGATCATCGGGATCCTTCGTCCCATCATAAGTCTCCAGTTGCAGGATTTTGAAGCCAGCAGGATAGGGTTCCAGTGTAATGTTGGTATTCAGAGGATGAGGTATAGAATCAGTAGCATGGTGTGGGGGTGGAGCACCTCGGTGTTCAGCTACTAGCTTTTCCAAGCTATCGAGGCGGCGAGTAACATCATCAGGGATAGGTTGTTGAGCGGGTGCAATGTGGGATTGAGCTTGAGATTCGCTGATAGCGGGAGCAGGTTGAACTGGTTGAGGATTCTGTTGTGGAGCCGGGGGTTGTTGAGCAGGGTTTAGTAAATGAATGAGGGGATCACCAGGATTATTTCTAGCTAAAAGTTGAGCCAGTACCAACTGAAAAACACCAAACTGCTGCTGTATGGCAGCAAGCTGAGCTGCCACTACGTCTTGATTGGCAGTTGAAGTTGAATTATGAGCTGAGGCATGAGGTTGATTTTCATCTCCTCCTTCTGCATGATCAACAGGAGGGAACATAACAGGAACCTGAGGTGGAAGTTGAGGAGGAAGCTGAGGTGGGATCTGAGTTGGGAGCTGAGGTAGGATCAGAGGTGGAAGGTTGTTGGGCGGTTAACCCTGCCCATAAGGCAGAGATGAATTACCAGCTCTGACTGATCGAGTGTGGACCATGATAGAAGAGCAACTAGAAAGCTTTCAGTTCGGATTCCCACAAACGGCGCCAATGTAATTGCAACGAACCAGAAGTCCTTCTACAGTCCGCAACTGCACTTCGGAATAACCTGCAAAGCCTCGAGGTGGACCTCGGGGTAGACACTCCGATGCTTAAGTCAGCAATAATCAGGGTTACCTCTAGAGCGGAGATAAAAGGAGCTTAGGGTAAGTTTCAATTACCTTTTGACGTGGCCCGGAGGGGGTATTTATAGGATTCAATGAGGAACCCACGTGGCATGCCAAGCAAGATAGTCGGAGCCTGACGTGTCTATTCAAACGATTATTCCAGGACCGGGAATTTGAGAGGTATTTAGATACACGGATGTCCACCATACTTGCTGTGCCGCTCATCATAAGGAATTAGGTGCGGGCATGCTTACTGTCATTGTCCTGCAGCTATTTGAGCGGGAAGTTTTGGATTTATTCCTCACTTCGCTCATAAAGAAATTACTGTAGCAGTCCGAGGTTTGGCACCTCGGCCTTGTCCTTACATGCCCCCTGTCAAACCTGGATTTCACTTCCGACAGGGCGCGCAACTATTCCACTATTGCCAAACCTAGGTGGAGACCATTGGGTTTTCTATGGTTCAATCGGAAGGGAATGAGGCACGAGTGGAGAGGAAGGCTTAGCCCCAACGGCTGTAGAGAAAGAAAGAGGCAGGGGTGAGAGGATGCCA